ATATATATATATATATATATATATATATATATATATATATATGCATATATATGTATAATATATATATGCATATATATATATATATATATGTATATATATAAATATATATATATATATATATATATATATATATATATATATATAAATATATATATATATATATATATATATATATATATATACACAAATATATATATATATATATATATATATATATATATATATATATATATATATATATATATATATATATATATATTTATATATTAATTTATAAAAATAAAGAAAACAACTTTTTATGGTACTAATAGTTTCATGCCTAAAGGCAATCATCAGCCATGTAATACAAAACAAGAAACAAAAAAAAACCTTAAAATATAAAGTTACAGTGGAGTGTGCTCCGTCGTCAAAACAAAACAAAAACAAAAAACTAAAAACGGCTGCCTAATCACCCGTATCGAAATTTGAAAGGAGGAACTTGCTTTTATGTCTACATTTAGATACTAATTCATTCCTCTTATTTAATAAGTTATCATAGGTGTACGATATTATGAAATACTTTTCGTATAGACATAAGTTGCATCGTTTTATTGTGGGATTGTAAGATCTACAACGTTTTAAAATTTTTCATTTAATTGTCGGGTTTACTCCATTTTCTTTTAACTTCCATACTTCCTTAGACAACTCAGTATCGTTTTTATATTTTTCGATCTTAAAAGATTTTGTATGATTAGCGTATCTAAGTTTAAAAGCAGTTTCACTTACTCCAAAATACACTTTTTCAATCCCGTCTGGAGTGCCTGGATATAGAGTGGCTTGATACACTATGTTATTAACGAGACACTGTTGATTTAAAGGGCACTTGCTTTTAGTAATACAATTGCAACTTTTATCTGATTCTGGGGGGATGCTTTTCATAATATGACGGTTATGAAAGTTAACGATTGATTTAATGTTTGGCATACAACTGTAACTCACCTTTAGAGTATTTCTATTAAAAATCTTGTGGTATTTATGTCCAACTGGAAAGTGCTTGTCAATTAAATCCAAAAAGATTTTACCAATTTTAGTAGAAACATTTTTACTATATGGGGGGTTAAACCAGATTATATTGGGGGTTAAACCAGATTATATATTAAAGTTGTTTTCTTTATTTTTATAAATTAATATAATGCTCTATTAAATAATATAAATAAATCCTATTTATTTATTATTGAGCACTCTTATACGTTCAAGAGTTTTTTGTATTTTATTGCAAATACTAAATATATACACATATATATACACATATATACACAAATATATATATATATATATATACACAAATATATATATATATATATATATATATATATATATATATATATATATATATATATATATATATATATATATATATATTTCTTTCTTTTTAAAATATTTAAATTAGTTTATAAATCAAGTCTTTCAGGTGCTTTATGAACCCATGATATTCTATGAGGTAAAAGGTTCATTTAATTCATAGGATTCAAATTATTTCAACTTTCTTTTCAACAGTTAATGCAGTTGCATTACCATATGTAGGAGTGGTTTTTAGACTATCAATTGATGTTTGTATATAAGCCTGAAATCCAAGCTGTTCAGTAGAAACTGTAGTTTCTTGACCATTAGGCAATCTCAAGTATGCATAGTAAGGATTTGTTTCAAGGTAAATAATGTATAGTGGAAAATACAATTTCCACTATACATTATTTACAATATAATGGACGCAGAAAAATCAGTTCAACTTTAAATTGAGATTTCTATAAAACCATAAATGCTTTTTATTTCAATTTTTTAAAATAACAAATGTATTTACATGAGTTAGGATTTCAACTTAATTTTAAGGGATTCAGGCTGTTCAGCAAGAGCTCAAGTTTTATAGTGGGTTGATGTCAACATTTTGGAGATTTTTTGCAGAATTTTTTTGGAAGTCTTTTTTATTACTTGTTACTTCACCATCTTACAAAGAATTCCTTTAACTATAACCCAAAAATCTTTAATCTTGCGCTCATCAGAACGATTCAAAGGATTTACATTTTTAGGAACAATTTTCACATTATTAGCTTTACACGTCTAAAAAAACTTTTTTAAAATAGTGAAAAGCAGCAAGATCTGACCAAAAGAGACATCGGTATAGCAAAAGTCTTTTTTGGAGGCATTTTTTTGTTGTTGTAGAGATTGGTAGTCAAGCTCTTCTTAGTGACAAAACAAAAGGACTGCATACCACTGTTACACATTGCTTGCCACACAAGGAACTTTGATGCAAATTTTTCTTGTCAAATATATAAAATAAAAGTTGTGAAAAGTCCGCCTTGCAATTTGCTTCGTTTTCTTTAATTATTCACATAATTTTATCTGCCATTATTTTAACCAACTTCTTTGTGTGTCAAATTCATTTAGTTTAATCATTTAAGCTTCTCTAAGGTGTATTTTTTTTATGAAATGCTTTAATTCCAGCATTTTTATGTACTTTTTTGATATAAGAACGTGAAGTCTTGAATTTTCTTGATTGATCTAGCTGTGACTGGTTCGGATTTCTTGCTATTAAACAGATAATTGACTTTAACTTTTTTGGATTTATGGAAAGTTGTCTTTCTTCCACTTCCAAGATTTCTTTTGAAGCATTGAGTAGATTTGAACTTATTTATAATATCTATGACTGTAGATTTTGGAACATTTATATATTTAGTAATCAAGCGATATGAAATCAATGGATATTTGAAAAATAAATTCATAACTCTTTTATGCACCTCAATTTATTTCCAAAACATTTTTCAAATCATTGATTTGTAAACAAAAGTTTATCAACACAATTAAAGATAAGAAAGTAATGTTTAATTAAAAAGCAAAAGAAATAAAAAGCATTTGTGGTTTTAGAGAAATCTTAAACCACAAATGTGCGTATTACCACATACAGTAATTTTATCAATAAATGGAAAGCAATCAGTTCATAGGCATTTTTCAAAGTTAGTTATTTTGCTTTGAAAACATATTGATCCATTGGTAATTCCAAAAAGCATTTTAGCTTATTGCTGCAGTTTATTGTTGGCTTTGAAAGCAGTATATGGCTAATCACATTTGGATAAAAGTAATTGATAGTAAGCAGAATGAAGGTCTAGGGTACTATAAATTTTGTGTTTAGAAATCATACTCACAATCACTTGAATCTTAGGTAAAGGATTTGCAATCTTTTAAATTGTGTGTTAATCGTTATCTTGCTCTATAAACTTTATCTTTTCTCTTCCAGTAACTTCCAACTCTACTAGTGGTTGGTTGCAGCCTTGTTGAAAGTGAAGATGTTGAAAAAAAAGTTTACTTTCATGCAACTCATGCAAATATGTATCAAGTTTGTGTCTAATTTTTTTTGAAAAAAAAGCTGATGCTATCTCAACATTTTTTTTGTAAATAACTTCTAAATTGATAAATTTACTAGTTTATTATTAATAAAGCTTTTTTTTGTACTTCTGCTAATAATCAAGGCTTTTGCTCTATATTTATCATTTAAAATAATTTTGTGACAGTCTCAGAAGAGAGAATTGGTTAAGATGGTGGAACAGAAGTAATTATTTTCAATTTAAGGAATAGCTTTATCATCAGAAGGTTTGCAAAATTTTTCTAAACAAACTACCTTTTTACGTTTATGACAGGTAGCTTTATGCGCAGATAAAGCTAGCTGTCATAAATATAAAATGGTGATTTGTTTGAAAAACTTTGTATTGATTTTTTACAACAGTAAAAAAGTAACTTGTTCTCAAATAAATTGTTCTTGTAAAAATATGGAAAAAAGTGATTATAATTGAATATAGTTGCTGTTCAAGATGGTAAATACCATCTTATATATATATTCATACAAAGAAATATTCTATAAACACTATAAACCCTAGTAATACCAAAGTAGAAGAAAGCACATAAGTAAAAAAATTATCATCAGTGATAAAAGTCATCAGCTTAAGAACTGTCTCGATAAAAATCATGAAGAGATTTCCAACTTATGGTAGTAATAAGAAGAGTGATGATGGGCTGAGCCTGAAGGAGAAATACAAGATAAAATTTTTTGAAAAATAAAGACATGGTCCAAAACATATAAATGAGAACTGGGAGAAACTGAGAAAAAACTAGAATGAATGAATGAATAGCAATTAACACAAACTAGATTAAAAATACTTTTTTAAGCATGAAGTAATGGTTACAGTAAAAAAAAATACAACTTAGATGAATGAGTCATGTAAGATCGAGTTTCAGTTTATTGAACAAGTTTTGATGAATCACTTGAGCAAAAGGTGTGGTAATGTTTGTAGAAATGACTATAATGATTATCTAACTATACATTGATGGGACAGAGGCTTTGCAGCTATAGAGGATTTAGTAGCATTTGCAATATATTTTTAGACCTTGTTTAAAACAAAAAGTGCTTATTAGAAGAACCACTCCAAAGATGACCAGATAAATAACAGCAACAATAGTAACAACAATAATAACAACATTACAATAACAGCAGCAATAATAACAACAATAATAACAACATTAAGAATTATAAACTATAGTAGTAATAGTAATATTAAATATAAATAAATACTTATATAAATATTTTTTACTATATTGATAGAATTAGAATTAGAATTAGAACAATACATTTTAATATTAGTATTCATTTTAATAATTAAAATAAAAGTATTCTTTATATAAATTTGTGTAAGGTTTATATGATAAAAGATTAAAAAATCAGAAACAGCCCAAAAAATTTATAAAAATTTTTTTACTTAAAGATGAATTTTAAGATTCAGCCATTGATATAAAAGCATTTAATTTATAAACGTTTTTAAAAAATTGAAATTCTATTAATGTTTAATTCTTGTTGCTGTTGATCTTGGTGTTGTCAAGAATAAAAGTATTGCTATTGCATTTATACCTAATGTCATTTGTGATTTAAGATGTTTTTTATTATAGTTAAAGTAATTTATTTGTATTTATAATTTTAGAATGTTCTCAATTTTGTGTTTACGACAATACTACTGGAACTCCAAGTAATTTCTTTTTTCTATTTCATATATATCTGTGTGTCTATATATATATATTTATATATATGTATATATATATATATATATATATATATATATATTTTATATATATATATATATATATATATATATATATATATATATATGGATATATTTATATATATATATATATATATATATATATATATATATATATATATATATATATATATATATATATATATATATATATATATATTTAACCCTCGGAACTAGGGTCAGCATTTGGCAATGCTAACCTAACTGCTGACCTAAAAGTGTTTGAGGTTGGCAAAATATTGCCGACCTCATTCCTATGCTTTATGGTTAAAACCTTGTATCAAATTTTTTTTGCCAACCTGATGCTCTTAAAGGCTTAGGTTGGCAAGTTATTGCGAACCTCATTTTTCTTATATACATGTGTATATATATATATTGGCTCCTCATATATATATATATATATATATATATATATATATATATATATATATATATATATATATATATATATATATATAAATTAATTTGGAGATATTGAAGGAAAACTTTCCCATTCGTATTTTGCCCTCAAAAAAAAATTTGTTGGTAAAATTTATTATAGTGTAGTGATACAAATAAAGTATGGGCATAGGAAAAAATGCATTTAAATAGGATCATGAAATAAAACTGAATAAATTATTGACTTAGCTTATTTTGATAATGTTAGATGGATTATTTTGAAATAGGTTAGTTGACGAAAAGCTATATATCTAGATATAAATATAAGCTTCATTGAATTCATAGAAGATTTGTTTTGTTTTAAAAAAGCATTAAAATGATTTGAAAGGAAAAGTTTCCATTAGCATGAATTATTGAAAAAAGTAATAGTATAAAAAAAGTATAAAAATAATGGGAACAAACAAAACTTTATGGTAAAAGTTGTAGTTTTTTTATTAAAAATTTTGACCAAAAAAAATGCTCTAAAATAAATAAGTTAAACATGATTACAAGCAGCATCTCTCCAAGACAATTACATATAATATCTTCATCTTTTGGGTCTATAAAAGAATTAAACTATTAAATTCAATTAAACGATGGTTAAAATAAATCATAGTTTTAATTAATAAAAGGGGGGGGGGGGTGTTGTGATCTTAAGCTTAGATGGATAGAAAAAGTTTACAAAAATCAATCAAAGTCCCCTCCCGTGTATTAGACACCTCAGAGTAGATATAAAAAAATATATGGCTTGCGTTGGTTAAAAGATTTATTACTTGTAGTTTTGTAATAAATAATAAATACTATCTTTCAATTTGTTTTCTTTTCCTTAGTAAGATGTTTATTTGCATTTTCTCCAACAGCTATAAAAATTTTTTTAATTTCAGTCATTTTTATATTAGGTGATAAATTTCAAATAATTTGATGCGCCAAGAAAAAGTGCGCAAACAATAGTATAAACAGACTTTACATTGGTTGTTAAAAAAATATAACGTCATTTATTGCACATCTAATTGGCTTCTGACTTAGCATGTTGTGAAGCTTTAACCCAGTTTGACTTAACTGTTTTTAGGACTAAGAGCCTTTTAACAGAACTGATATTTAAATAAATGATAGATTTCAGTATATATAATATAGAAATGGAATTAACTCAAAAAAGGTTTTTTTGTGACTTAGCGGGTTTTGCAGATGGGCTCCTCATATATACAGTATGCAAAAAAATAAATAATCCTACACTTAAAAAAACATAATTTTAAAGATTGCTTCAAAAATATAAGTTTTCCATTAAAATTTAAAAGATTTTTTTTAGATATCTTATCAAGTATTGCTTTAAGAATTTATATGTGTATTGGTGAATTAATTGCTTTTCAAAAAATATATAATTGACTTCAAAAAAAAAAGTTTATTTTGCAGTCAATTACAAGCACCATTAGGTCAATTGTATAAAATTCAATAGGTTTGAAAAGCAATTAATTCACCAATACACAAATAAATTCTTAAACAATACTTGATAAGATATCTAAAAAACAACTTTTAAATTTTATTATTTTTAGATATCTTATCAAGTACAGTTAAAAAATAATATTCAAGTTGATCAAATTTCATGGAAACTAGTATTGAGGAAGGTCTCCTTTGGCCTTGATGGCCACAACTAGATCACAACTGATGGCCACAACTAGATCACAACTGGATTTCTTCTTTTGTTATATCATCCCATGCTCTTTATCTATATTATCTCATTTTAGCTTCTTTCAAGTTGTCTTTGCGTCTAAATGCTCATTCCCCAATTTTTCTGTCCAAAGTATATCACAAATTTTCTATTGGATTCAAGTCTGGACTTTGAGATGGCCATTCCAAAACATTGATGTTATTTGTGTCAAAGTATACCTTCATTTCCTTATCGGTATGTTTTGGATCATTATCCTGCTGAAGTATGAAGTGAAGTTGTGCTAAAAGAAAGCACATATAGGAATAGTCTGTAAAGATAAGACTCAACAGAAGAAAAGTTACTTTAAAGACCACGAATATCAGTGAATGATAGATTTAGAGAACTTGGTGATGATGATGGTTTTTTGTGTTTTATATTATTTGGTACTTTAGTCATTTTTAAATTTGTTCAAGCACTTAATTCACAGCACAGATAGTACTCAGTACTATTAACAGTCCAATTAATTGCCTCATTACTATTAATAAGTTCTAAGCAGTAATAAAGTGCTTCAAATGTGGCCTTGACAATGTACAACAAAAATACAAAGAAGATCACCATTGATGGGCAACATGGCACTGTTTGCGCTCTGATATTTTTTAGCTGTTGATGAAATCAACCTCTCTGAGAGCTACCACAGAGTTCTGGAAACCGGACCAGCTGGCCTCAGAACCATAAAACTGAGTTTTAGAACTGTACCCTCATTAGGAGATAATAGTATGAGTTGCCTGTCATAAAGACAGACACAAGCAAAACCCACACATTGAGGCAATAAGATTCTGCATTCAACATCCTAAACTGGCAACAATTACTAAAATACATTTATGCCAGTCTAATAGATGAAGAAGGGCTGCGAGGCTGGTTAATAGATAGAATCTATTTACCCTTAAGTCTTTGCCTAGGAGGTCTTCTACAACACAGTAGCCAAATGCATTTAATGTGTTCCTAAGATAATTATTTTTATTAAGTATTTTTACCAATTTCATGCTATTTAAAATCATTAAATATCACTAATATAAATTAAATTATCACTTATATATATATTAAATTCTTATATATATATATATGTTATCACCTCTAGCGTTTACTCAACCAAGAGCCTTAAGGCAGTGGGTTTGTTAATTCAGGCAGAAGTTTATTCAGGTTTGTTAATTCAGGCAGAAGTGGGTTTGTTAATAGAGGCAGAAGGACATGAAATAGGTTGTACTGAGTGATGTTACCAGTAACAGGATAACCTGACCTGACTGTCAATTGACAAATGGCATTTGTTCTAAAAAAGCGACCTAACTTGAATACTATCTCTCTTTAAGACATTTCGGTGCTCTCGATTTCCTACTTCTCATTCAGTTCTATAACTCTATAAATTTCTTATTTATCTTTGTATGGAATACTAAGAACTTTTCATCATGAACAAAAAATATTTTTTAAAAGTTCTTCTACTTATGCTCATTCTCTTTAAAAAAAAATCCAAAAACACATTGTGAATGTAGTAGAACCTGCCCTAGCTCCAAAGCTTGTGCTTCTATCCCATTTGTCATATATGTTGTATCTTTTTCTATTTTCTACAATTACTACCATGATCATTGATCAAGCGAGGTACATCTCTTACACATGTCTTGTTTTTTAAAAGTTTTTTGTCTCAAAAAACTTTTTATAAACCTATTTTTTACCGATCTTTACATTTTCCTCACTCATGCAGTTTAAAGTTTTGAAAGTCTTCTCTCAACCGTTTTCTTGTTATTTAGCATTCTCCTTTGCTTTCTGTTAACTACCAACCTACATAACAATGATTATAGCCATTATGGAAGTAAAGTTGCTATTAAAAATATATATTAAATTGTATAATTTTGTCACAAAAATAAAAAGATATACCTATATTATATAAGGGGAGTTTGGTGTATTTAGTATGTGATTATTTTTATAAAACAGGATTAAATTTTTTTAAAAAAAGCAATCGTTTCAAATATCGGTTAATCAATATAAAAAGGTTAATACCAATAACGACTGTGCAAAAAGTGACAGATTAAACTGATGCCAATCAATTATTACATCACTAATACATATATGGGCTTAATTTAATTTTTTATAAGGTTCCCGGAAAAAATGTCCGACCAAAAGTTATTTTGGTTGACATTGTCCGATCAATTTTTTGAACTTAAATTTGAACAAATAATTTTCACAAATATTTACATATATTCATATTTGTTTAGTTAAAAGGAACACAGGAATAGTTCTTTAAATGCCGAAAGTAAAAAAGTACTGCAGATGGGTTTTCTTAAACTAGCTACTGGCGTATCTGAGTTTTACGGAGCCCAATTATCCTTTCAAAATATATGTTATGTTTTTCCAGTTTATTTTATTTTAAGCTAGTGAAGTTGTAGTTTTTTTTCTTAATATTCAGAATTTTTATCATTGTAGATCTTTGTAATTTAATTGAAATAGTTTAAACTCAATACTGCACATTTTTTTAGACTTAAAGTTTTATTGAGTTTTTTCTCTCGAAAACCTTGTTAGTTTACATTAAATTGCATTACCCGTTTATAAAAGTTATGTAATTTTTTTTACTTAACAAAATATAATATGTTAAGTATCAATTTTGCGCATAAGTTCCACTTTTAGCGCCAAAAAGGTATTTATATGGCGTTCATGTAACTATTTTTATCAATAATAAAAACGGCAAGAAAACAAGTTTGTTTTAGTAATATAGTATAATGTCTTAAATACATTAAATATTAAGATAAACATATTATTTTTAAACTTGATATAAAAAATTTAAACTTTGCTTTTACTTATTTAGAGGCGGTTCAAT